ACACATTTTTTTAGAATAACACTGTGGATAAGTTGGCCGGAACATTTTTGCTGAAAATGTTTTTCCCCAAAAAACACTTTGTGAATTCTCAGAGAGCCGATATTTTCTTGTCAAGGGGCAGGGGTAGTCTAGCATTATTGGAATTAATTATGTGACTAGTATATGCTTTGCAGGTGGGATTTGCAGGTCCTATGCAACCCATTTGATGGGCGACGCACGACGGGCGACGCACAACGGAAAATGGCATGTTTGGAACTGGTAAATGGCAGAATTGGGACACAACAAAAAGCAAAATACGACGGGCGACAGCAGATATGGAATTCCATACCCATTAGCTCGAGGAGCCCATATATTGTTACAACCTCAGTCACGCTCCCGGCACAATGGATCTTGGACTCAATTGCCACCGGTGCTGTTATGTATAGCACGATCATTGTTCAACAAAGAGGACGAGCCCAATGCCAACAATCATTCCATCGACACTGCTGAAATTACAGAAACTTTGATTTCTCCAGAAGCGCCAAGTGAATTATTGAGAATTCCCAATTATGAACTGTTTTCCAAACCTCGAGTTGATGGACGCGGGGGAGGTGTGGTAGTTTATGCTAAGTGCCATCTCAATGCCAAAGTGGTCGATGAAATCATCGTTATAGATAACATAGACGGGCTGTGTTAGTCTATTCGCCCTCCTAGATTCACCCGTCAATTACAACGAATTGCCGTCGGGGTCTTGTACTGTCTGCCGTGTAGCCCTGTTGCCGCACTCATGCTGGAGCACGCCAGTCAGCTGTGGATTATATTTACAAATAGGTAATTTGGGAGACATTTTGTGGAGCATTTTTCAGCATTAGGGAGACATTGGCTTTTAGGGAGACATTTCAGTGACTCCCTATTTTCGAACTACCAAAAGGAGGCCGAATTTTACCGTCCAAATTTTGAGAGATGATAGATTAGGGTCTAAATTGAAAAATACAAAGATTGGTTCAGATCAGACTTGGGAACATTGAATTATGGGACAGTAAAGTTGGAAAAATTTTGTGCACGTTCTTATGGGAATGTCTCTCTAATGACCCATTAGCGGTAATCATTATAACAATAATCAATCAATCAATTTATTATTATATTTCTGGTAATGACACCAAGGATTCCTCAAAAGTGCCCTAGGCACTGTAGCTTGCAAGCCTGAAGAAACCTGTGGAGAGGAGGCAGTGGGAAGCAGTTACAGTTTTAGAGGTGGGAGGAAAACCCCAGAGGAATATTCTGGGTAAAACCCACGGAATCAGGTAGGGACTGAAAATCCAATCCACATGTGGACTGTGCCGCGTTTTGAACCCGGGCCGCAGAGGTGGAAGGCGAGGAAAGAACCACTACGCCAACCTATCTACTCACGAAACAACCTGCGATGGGCGTTGTTATTATTGGTGACTTTAACCGTCTTGACATTGGCAACATTGAGTCAAACAGAATGGTGCAATTAAGTTATTCAGCATTGTTTCAATATCGAACAAAATTATGACGAATTGGACACAATTGTGACGAATATAGCTATATTCGTCACAATTGTGTCCAATTCGTCATAATTTTGGATTGATGGATTGACGAAGAATGACGTAGAAGGCGTTACACTTTAATATCAGACACGCTGGCAGATTCTAGAACGTCTTGTACCAAGATGCCCACAGAGAGTCTCTCTCATTGGTTCCCGTGATGTTGAAATCGAAAACACCCGGGCTATCAACTTCTGACCCCTGACTCTGGCGTCATTTCTATTTATATCCGTGGGTAATACCTGACCTAAGATTTTTTTGGGCAGGGAACTTCCTGGCTACATACTCACAGACGTTCTAGAATCTGCCAGCGTGTCTGATATTAAAGTGTAACGCCTTCTACGTCATTCTTCGTCAATCCATTAATAGTTGTTTCCCGTGTCACACCGTGAGATCCCATGATCCCGCTGATAAAGTGTGGATTACACCTCACATCAAATTTCTGATGAAGGAACGACGGAGGGCTTTCGTGAAGGCCGAAGTCGTGAATAGAGGCGCCTTAAGAATCGAGTTAAACGAGATATTGAGTGTGCCAAGAAATCATACTGCATGTCTTGTACATGTATCGGGTACATCACTTGAAATCTTCCGATCTAAGCAAATGGTTCCGTCACATCCGCGTGATATCTGGTAAATATGTAACAATATCACCGCCCCAGAATCCGAGTCTAATGATAACGCAGCTACTGCAGAAGCAATCGCCGGACAGTTTTCCGCTGTGCCTTTTGATCTCAAACCTCTTGATCCATCGTCACTTCCTACTTACCTCCCTTCTCTGCGTCCCAAAACTTTATATCCGGGAACTTCACAAACTCAAATTGCACAAATCATGTGAGCCCGACGAAATTTCGGCTAGACTCATTTTCGACTTTCTGCGTATGAACTGCCCTTTCCGTTGACTGA